GTCCTTTTTCTGTTGGGTAACCTACCGAGAAGACAGCTTCGTATCGAGAAGCGAGAGTGTGGAGAGGGGGCAGGAGGCCGCAGGAGAGGTGGTATCCAGTCGTTGAGGAGTCATATCTAGTTTTTAGAGAATTCTTTCCATTCTGCTAATTTTTCTTTCTCTATATATCCCCTATCCCCCTCCTTCGTTCTGATAGCAACGTGTTTTTGGGAAAATCCGGTAAGACAGGGAAAAAAGTCGTACCGAAGGCGAAGGTTTGGAGGGGTCTTCAGAAAACATTTTGTGCAGCGCGATGATGTGCCCTGACTCCCACTCCTGATTCAGTAAAGTTGCAGTTTTACGGGTTTTTCCTTCCGGAATTCATATTTTCCTTGTTGAGGAGTATGGCCCTCGAAACTTCCATCATCTTTCACTTATGCATGACGTGACGTGAGATATGTTTTCACATGGACTTTTCCACTGCTGTGTTGCAACCAGGGCATGTTGTATGTACGTTGAGATTCCCAGGGAGTCGTATTTTGGTCGCTATAGGGAGAGAGAGGCCACAACTGCCCTTGCGAAGAGTGTTTTCTCTTGTTGGCTTTTCTCAGTTTTTTTTTTTGTTTCACATGCGCTGGAAGTCCTGTACCCTCCAGACGCAAGCTTTGGAGAACAAACCTGCTGTAAATTTCCACCTCCAATGGCAGCTTTTGGATGACCCCGAAAGAGGGTAGTAGAGAATGCAGAGAGTGGAAGAGATAGTGCATGGGATGGAGGTGGAGAAGGAACTCGTATTAGAGGAGGAAAGTTCGAGAATCTTTTGAGAGAGAGGTATTTTGCAGAATTTTTTTTTCTAAAGGCAGGACGTGCCGTGCTTGTATAATAATTGACAAAGATGTGGACGATTGTCTCGAAACAAAATATTTATCAGAAGCCCAACCGCCGTCACCTTGAAGTGAAGGGAGCAGTTATGCCTTCGTCATTGCTCGGATATGTGGTGTAGATAAGCAGGATTGACCGTTAGGATGGCAGCATCAGGACTGATATGAAGCGACTGCGGTGCTGCATGCACTCATGATTAGATAAGTGCAGCCGTATCTACCACGGCGGTTGTTGGCACGATGCCGGCTGAAAACTCGTCCAAAATTGCTTTTCGAGTCATGAAGGACGAAGGCTTTTCTTCGCAGGTTTTTGACCGTTTCACTTCGTTTTTTCGTCAATTTCCCACTATATAGCGCCCTACTAGCATTCTGGGCCGAATATCAAATTATCGCGCCAACTGCCTTTAATTCGTTTTCATATCCCAAAACGGCTAGAGTTGAATGCGTGGTACAGCCCTAGAACGATTTGATTAATAACGAACCTTACCCCAGGGAACATCATTGGTTGAGGATTTTAGTCGAGTCTGTACGACCCCCCCTCCCTTTTTTGGGGGTTGGTACGACCCCCCCCCTCCGGCCCTCTGTCCCTCCTCATCGAATCGAGCCGTCGAGCGGTGGGGAGGGGGGGGGAGGGGGTAAATAGCACATGTGAAATCGGAAAACTTTCCAACACTTTTCCCAAAATCCCCGAAAACCTTCCCTACTTTTTCCTACTTTTACCCAAAAACTTTGCTGTCGAGCGTGGGCGGGGGGGATTGAGGGTATATAGTACGCATGAAACAGGAAAATCACAAAAAGTCAACCACCGCTCCTACAACGCCAAAACGTAAATACGACCCCCCCCCTCCCAACAATGACCAAGTACGACCCCCCCCCCCCTTTACAACGTCCGTGAAGCGAGAAAAATCAACTATCAAAATAAATTTTTCCCAGCCCAAATACGACCCCCTCCCCTGGCGACCAAATACGACCCCCTATTGGGGATTCCCCAACAGAGATGTGCCCTGCCTTACCCCTGCACTAATTTTTCTTTTCCTCTTGCATCGTTATGTGGATTCATACAGTCCCTATTTTTGAGAAGTCGCTTCTCATATTGTTTATGGCGATGGCTAGAATCATCTTTTACTTAATGTAGCAGTCGTAGCGGTGTCAAGAGGAAGGGAATGAGCCCACCCCAGCGTTTTCTACCGATGGTTTTTTTTTCGCGAATCGATGGCTAACCGATCAGTACTGTCAGGAAAATCAGCCAGAAGCGGCTCATTTCACCCTCTTCGCACCGCCCCGCCTCATTGGGGCGTTTAAAGGAAATTCCCTCAATAGGATTTTCGTTTTTCCGCATTTCTCGCTTCCTATCTTCTTTTTTAAAACGGTTCCACATAATTACTTGTGTATTTTGTTGGACGGCTCATTAAAGACGTTAGTTTAGCGCTCAGATGTTATCGATATGGCACTGGTTGTTTATATCCATTACCGGCCTGTTAGCCAATGCTTCCTCTGAGTTCGAAATGAAGGATCAGGATTTCTTGGTACGATTTCACAATATCGTTCAGTCTACCGATTTCTTCATCATTCCTGAAATATGATGTTTACACTGCATCCGACAGAGATGGGGGTCGTAATTGCGGAACTGCATATTTCTAGTGGCGTGGTGTTCTGGGAATTCTATTTATTCTTGTTATTGTCCGTCGTTTACAAATTTCTGCCCCACTGGAGCGCCATCGGGGTTGAACTGCCCACGGCGAACCTTGCTGTTAAAGTAGATGGGGAGGGGATATGCGTAGGTCTGCTTTGGGAGGGAGCAGCGTGCTGCATGGGACAGGTGGAATGGTCGACATCCCAAAATGTCCTCTTCCACTACGACACCCTCTCACAACCTATCCACCATCTTACTAGGTTGTTCAAGGTTTTTACTGATCTCCCAAAGTGTTCACCAGTATTTCCTTCTAAAAAAGGCATCGAAGGCGCTGATACGGGTGATTAACAACTGGGAAGGTTTTCTCGCAGCTCGGAAGATCTCCTTTTGAGACCAGATACGACTTCTCTTCCCCCATCCGTCCTCCTAGGATATCCCAGCGGCTGTGCCCTGTTTGGGAGGCTCGCGACGACTCTGATCGTCTTCCCTCTTACAGACCCGAGCAGCGAGACAGAAGGGTCATAGCCGCTTTCCGATTCACCGACGTGTCCGGAATTTTCATAGGAGAATAACCAGGTGCTTCGAAGTTGCTGCCGAGCACGAACTAAGTCTGTGAATACGAACCATAGATCCACTGGTTACAGAGTTCACGTTTAGGGACGAATTCCGGGTTGGGGGGGGGTACATCTGTGAATGCTGGTCGATGAACCAATCCTCCAACCTGTGTGCATGTGAACACCGGGCAATCTTGTCAGCACCCTATAAGCCTGTTATCTGCCTGTCAACACATATCTGTGTATTACGAATTTTTAGAGTCTTTTTTTATTAGTCAAGATTGGGGGGGGGGGAATGAAAAATCGGCGCTCTAACGACCTAGACCATTTATCGGACTTTACAGGAGCTTACAGAGTACTTGACAGGGATTTACAGGATTTGCAGGGTCGGACAAGATTGTGGAAAAAACAAAAGAAAAATACAAGACGAAGACATATGATGAGACAGTCCCCTTCAAAGTCACTAGGGCTCAAATTTTGACCAATTTTAGCTATACGATCGATCTATCGACGAATACGAAACGATCCTCACTCCACGAGATTTTGAACGAGCCGAACAATTGGGCAATCCACCTCATTACAACAAGTATGACTTAGACGATCCTGATGCTATGTATAAGAAAGATCTATTCGAAGGAGATATCGCCAATGAAAATGCGAGTATTTTTTATTTTTACTTTTTGTCTTTGTTTTTTTTCGGAACTCAAGGTATTTTTTCCTTGCTCCTATGGGCACAGTCAAAAGCACCTCAGGTTGACAGCGAATGCTCCCAATTCTTTAGCCTGACCATTGCTCACCATAGAAATTTCTAAATACGACGATGTTATACTTCATTTGATCTTTAACTTTGTTTTGTATTTCCATTGCATGTTTGGTATTGTAGTAGTTAGTTAAAGGCATATTCCAGCGCGGTATATGGGCTAGAATCAGGCTCGTCATTTAGTCCGTCCTCAAGCACCACGACCTCTCTACCATAGGGAGAGAAAACGCACAAGCCTCTTCGTGGGGAAGCTAGGGCGTGGCAGGGGGTGGATTTGGCGCAGCGCCAGCCCGTTCTCCTCCAAATGGAGCTGGCAGGCGACCACATTTGATGGGGAAAAAGGCTGACACAGGCGCTATAAACTGGCGCTGTGCAAATTCATGCTGACGCCCACCAGGTCCGCGGCGAAGCAGATTGTAAGAGCAAGGCAGTGTGTATCGTCCGAATACGACACATATGATTTAGAAGGCATATTCCGCGAAATAAGAAGTAAGGCTATGACTCTCATAATGTGTTCGGCGAGTTCGGAGGCGATTTTTGAGCTGGCGCTTCTTTTCGAGATTGTGAAGAAAGGTAATGAATCCGCTAGAAGCATGGCTAATTCAGGCGCATGGGACACTCCTAGCATGCCTGACCTACCGCTGGCTAGCTAGTGCTATGTTATCTATTTATATAACATTGTGGACTTGCTTTTACTTGGCTGCTTTATTCCGCTAATGCAGATCTTAGCACTTTTTTTGGGGCGCTATTTGGTTCCGTTCGCGGAATTATTGCGGGTCGGCGAAATGTGCCTTTAAGGTGCGTGGGCGTGTTCTGAGTGTGAAGCGCTCATTTCGTATTTATATTATACTATTACTTTGCTGATGATATTAATTAGTAGAATTTACAAACTGGTATTGGCTCTATTTTATGAAGACTCTTTTTCATGAATGTCCATCCAAAAAGTTTTTTAAGGGCATCAAGCCACGAGTGAATCAAAATTAGGGATATATTATTCTTTTTTATTTGTCAATTACGCTCCATATCCAAGATTGAGGTGGGCGGCTGGCGATCGTTTCATGTCACATGGCTATGAATATATTTTGTTGTTGGAATATTTTAACATACGGCCGACTCTGTGTTACTGGACAAATATGTGCAGCTATCTAAAACTAAAGTACCCTCACCACAGCGCAGTGCTCGCACTGTACAGAGCTCCGCCCAGCTCGTCTTTGGGTATGGAAGATGTGAGTGCTTCAAGGGGTGTGGACCCATTCAGTACGTATTTGCGAGCAATTCCTTGAAATCTCTCTTGAAAGCTGAGGTTGAGAAAGTGTCGAGGCGGGACTTCTGAGACCGCCTGTGCTACTTATTGGTTAATGTGGCAGCTTGCGAATCGAGCGATTTCAGACCGCTTCTCATACTCCCTCCCTAAGGTACTATTTGTCCACATGTTGGGGTCAATGCTATCTTTATCTAACTTAGTCTAGCTTAGCTAGAACTTAGCTTAGTCCACGCTGATCAAATGAAGAAGACAATTACATCACGCCTTCCTCACTGAGGCACAGCTTGCTCTGAAGCGGCAATGGGGTCCAACCAGTAGACAAGGCATAATGATTGACCGTCCCCACCCATACACTCAACGTGGGACTGCTCCTTCGAGCGAAGTTTCGTCGGATATGAGGGAAACATGGCTACGGGAAGATTTTGTGCTAGCAGGAACCAAGACTTTGTTCTGAATTTACGCAAATACTGTCGAACTAAGCCCGGTTAACAGAAAACCCGAGGTAACAATACCGTACATTTATCTTCAATATCACTGCAGATGTCTTTTTATTGATAATTTAAGTTGAATGCGTCAACCGTCGAAATGTTCCTGAATGGAGGTGTAGGCAACAGTAATGGCGGTTGGTATAATGCCATAAAGAATCGACATCAGCTGTGGCCAAACGGTCGCATTCCGTATACGATTAGCAGTCAGTACAGTAGCTACAGGTGATTTTTTAAAGACATTTTCTGCGATTTGGAGGCTACGGTAGGTGTTGACCGTTCGGGGAGGCGGTAAGGAAGTCAGAGTCGCGGTGACGTGGAGGGTGCAGCTCTCAAGCCGTTTGCACTCGTTTTCGCTGCGGACGCTGGGCGTATCACAGAGTCCCGATTTGTGCGGCGCGAGCCCATTCTCCACCAATTTTTGCCGCTTGCCCGCTTTGACAGTTGGTGGTAAACGGGCTGCCCCCGCTTCAGACCTGGTCACCCAGACACGCCTGCAGCCAAAACGGCAATTTTTCCTGCGTGTCGCCGTAACCCGGACTTCCTGGCCTGCATCAAGTAATTCAAGCTCCTGACTAGATGGCGATTAACAGCCATTGACTACAAAAAATGTTTTCAGCCGTTCCCAGATAGCGGCATCAATGCAGGAGTATTCCCTTCACACTTGTATTAAATGGGTACCGAAAACGAACAGCGACGTCAATTATATCTATATTTTTCCCGACAGGGGATGTTACTCTATGGTTGGCAAAATAGGTAAGTCATAATTAGCAGAATTTTTTTGAATATTTTTTGATTTCTTCGTCGTAGTGGCCTATTGAATGCGATGTGGAATATAATGAATTCCTGGGGCCTGCCAATGTGCGGCTCAGTGTCCTTATCCTATCAGACAAATCTGACAAAACCTATTGTCTCAGGAGAGTAGAAGGAGAAGGCTTAGCCTGTTGGCAGAGAACAGAGCCAACCCGGAATCTGAACAGCGGACCACGCGCGGGGAAAGCGTGCCACTTGTCACTACACCACCTCCGCCTACAGCAAGCATATTGTATTGCACAAAAACGGTGCGCACCGTAGAGAAAATAGCAACTGATCGCTCAGTATCTCCTTTGTTCGCATTTCTCTTAGCACGTTCCTTTTGATTTCAGAAACCCAGATCCAGTTCGTTACGCTGAGATATGCTCTTCGTAATATCTTTGCTGACTGGGTCGGGAAAAATATGCTACTTCAGAAACGGCGAAAGTTCCTTTCTTCAAAACTTTTTACTCTTTCGCACTGATGCTCACCGTTACCTCCTCTCCGGCTGAACCACAACTTCTCTTTTAAGACGAAATGTGCACCCACTTCCAAAGACGGCCTTGCCAGCTGTAGTAGCGTGCCACTTTTTGTTCTCTTCAAGCAGCACGGAATGGGGTAGTGATATCCGAATACTGTTCGTCGGTTCTGCCTGCGCTGTCCTCAAGGTGCAGCACTTACTTCAATACCAAGATCCTGCAGGGACACAGTAAAGAACTACCGGAAGTGAGGGCGCAGAAAAGTAGCGCGTTTGGCTACGGTTAGGCGTGTGGCTGGCCAGCGCCGGTAGAGTCCAGAGGGTATCAGTACCCTCCAACCCCGTTTCAGTGCACTCTTAAGTGGAGAAAGATACAGCTTCTAGTTACGTAGACCCATTAACCCGCACATGGCTAGAACCACATTATGCCCTCCACAAAACGGAGCTACTACCAGGGCACATTGGTTGGGGATTTTAGTCGGGTCTGTACGACCCCCCCCCTTTTTTTTGGGGGGGGGGGTTGGATACGACCCCCCCCCTCCGGCCCTCTGTTCCTCCTCATCGAATCGAGCTGTCGAGCGGGAGGTGGGTGGGAGTAAATAGCACAAGTGAAACAGGAAAAGCCATGACCCCTCTACCAATTTTCAGATTTTCCGTCAACTTCCTGCCACTTTTTTCCAAAATTTCCCCGAAAAGTTCCCTACTTTTTCCCAAAAATTTTGCTGTCGACAGCGGGGGGGGGGGGGGGCATATAGAACTAGATGAAACCAGGGGAAAATCACAGAAAGTCGAACCATTCACGCCACAATGCCACAAGCGTGATTACGAACCCCCTCCCCTCCACAAAGCAATGATCAAGAACTCCCCCCCCCCCCCCCCCCCTTTACAACGTCCGTGAAGCGAGAAAAATCAACTATCAAAATAAATTTTTTCAGCCCAAATACGACCCCCCCCTCTCCTGGCGGCCAAATACGATCCCCCTATTGGGGATTCCCCAACAACGATGTGCCCTGGCTACTACCTACCGTATTACTTCTCTGCTCTCGTCTCTGTTGATCTACTTTGTCGATTCTACTGCTCTCTGTCTCTCGTTTTGCAAACCCGCACGTATATCTTCGAACTGATAGCTCTAAACATTACTCACATAAGATTGATATTGGTAAGTTGTACATGAATAGTTTTCATTGTAATGATATCGGACGGGAACGAACTACGCTCTCGTATCGAGTCTCTTATTCCAGCGCTTGAAGTGTAGTTGCCGAAGTGTAGTTGTATAAGATACCGCAGAGCTCGACTATTACCAGTTTACGAGCTGGTATCGATACCTGTCAACCGTCATCGATGTTCCTATCCTATTGCTCCACCCTTCATTACGCGTGCCGGGATTCATGACCTTTTCCTCCGACGCATCGCCTTCTTACTCGCATCATCTAAACGTTCCTACATAGGTACTGCCACTAGTACAAATAGGGTCAAACACTGTACTTTTAACCCTAAGGGCTTGACGAATTCTGTGACATTACATTCTATCGATTCTTTTCAGCCCCTATCACCTGCTATCACCTTCTACCATCCACCATCTGCGATCATACCGCTGGCTAAAGCATAGCGTAAAGAACCCATGGGATTCTTTACGCTTCCGATGACTGATATCAGCTGTTATCAGTGATTACCACTATTTTAAGCCAACGTATCGAGCGTTCCAACGTAATTATTTCTCCATGGATTGAGGAAAGGAATTCCCAGTCAAATGCGCGCAAGCCAACAGACAAACTTGTTGTTATCGGATTACAATAGCATAACTGTTGTGTGAGGAGATCTGGCTTCAAACAGTCATCTACTTGAAAGCACGAGAGCAGCGGCTACGGAAAACTAGGAAGATATGAAGAGCTTCCGATAAGGAAACGTTGGACCTCGACTTATAGGGCAAGCTGCCACAAGGAGCTAAAAAGATG